GAAGAAGCAGCTCAAAAAGAAGGTCTGTATTTTTTTCTGGTTCTCTCTAAGCTTATTTTCCTTTGCAGTGGCTTGGGGAGAATAGGGCGTTCGTGGACATATCTCGGGTGCTGCACGGGTCCGCTTTTTCTATCACCGCAAATAATTTATATATTTTCAATGACTGTGATAACGGAACACATCAAGGTCCTAGGTCATATCCTTCATTTCCACTCATTGCGGTAGGAGCAGTTAGCAAATATCTATACAGCACGTTCAATTCCGCCATAGAGCGGAATTCTAAAAGGAGATTTGTCTTTTCCACACCCTAAATAAAGTATTTTGCCGGTGTAACCTAAGTGGGTAGCAATCACCTGTGGTAGCAATCACCCGTAATTCTCGACTTCTGGCTAAAGAGCTTGTTCTAGGCACCGAAAAGAAGGCGGCCACACGTTGAAATCGAATACGAGGACGAATCGGAGTTGCGATCGAAGATCAAAGCCTAAAGTGATTGTTGGTAATTGCATGTTCCTTATGAGTGTGTCTGTTGGAAGTGTTTTCCACGTTGTTGAAGGTTTTATTGTTATTGCTCCCTGGAGATCTATAAAGAGCTACTGTTCTTCTTCGTTGACTCGTGTGGTTTGTTATATCGTTGTTGTAAATGAACAAAGAGTTGATATTTGTTGTCTCCCTTTTTCGTTCATGGTTTTCACCGTGGAAGTTTCTGATGAGATTTACTTTGTATTTTATGTTTAAATGCTTTTTAGTTCGTCGTGACTTGCTTTCTGGTATTTAAAACGTTTTAGAGCTTAGCAAAAGTCATGTCGTTGGATCCGTCAACAGGATTCACCTGTGTTGCTTGCCATCTTGTTTTCAAGACAGCTGAACTTCAACGCGATCACTACAGAACGGATTGGCATCGTTATAATCTTGAAGAGACAAGTAGGTTTATCGGCTTTTCTCTCTTTATTTTTATTCATGGGTACCCATCAAGAAGCGTACCGCAAGGCAAGGGGTCGTAGACGCTAAGAGAAAAGTGGGCGAGTATTTGCGCCTACGCTAGCAACGTATCGTATAGTCTATTGAGGAGAATGTAGCGTAGGCGTTTGAGAAGTTGTGATGTAGCGTGGGCGTTTGAAGAGTTTGTTTGTTTGAGAAGTGGGAAGATGTTTCTTGTAGAAATATGCTATATCTCAAAATTTAGGTCAGTGAACTACCTCCAGTCACAGCTGAACAGTTCCGCGACAAGGTGTTGACGTTCAGGAGCGAACAAGAGGTAAATGGAAGTTGAATTTTCCAAAATAGTCCTTCATTGAATGCTTCTATTCCTATTTATTCCCGTCCTCTATCCCTTTAATATAATTTGGTTGAGGCGTTGAAAAAAGAGGAAGAGGATTCGACTGCACTATATTGCGCCACATGTCGAAAGAAACTGAAGTCGAAAAATGCGTTGGCAGATCACATGGCGAGCAAGAAGCACAAGGAAATGGAAACGCGGGAGCCGAAAGGTCCCAGGCAACCTAGAAAAGTCAGTTTTTGGTGTGATCTCAAAAATTCTTAACGTTCAATCATCCCTCTGAAGTCAGATTTTAGCAATCCTCATTTTATTCTCATTAAACTTTTCGCCTTTTTATAAGTTGATCTTAACATGATTACTAGTTTTAGTTCTGCCATTCGCACCAATCCTTGAGAAACTTTAAGTTCTTCAAGGATTGGTGTGTTTTAGACTGTGAAGGTGTGGATCACATCTGAAACGGCAGCGCATCTACTCAGAATTCCTTGCTTATTTTTAACGGAACGCAGCGGTGGGAGAAAGGAGGGGGATTACGAGGACTATGCACAAGTTGGTCTAGTTGTATTTTAAGGATGCTAAATAATTGGTTGGTTTTCTGGTGAAATCGAAATCAGAAAAGGGTAAATTTTTGATTTGTCTGAGCTTTATAAGTTCGGAAGGTTTGGGTCTCTCGAACCGCTCGGGTCTCTATAGTCAGTGAACGGTTCAGTCGTCGTGAGTGTGACCTCTTCTTTACCTTGACTGCCCACAGAAATTGAAATTTGAAATTCCCTGCCGTAGCCTCTACGGTTCGACACATCACAATACAGTATACAAGGTTATTTATTTATTTATTTATCTTTATAATCATTGGTGCGCCATGACAACAACGGAGTGGACTAGTTCTGATAGAGTGATCGAGATCAAAAAGAAAACAAAAACAAACTATTTCTAGAATAAGCCTAACTTGAAATGTTCCCTCAGCGTGGTTACGGTTACGTGATAGACTGAGTATATCCGCAATCTGGAGGGTTTGCAGTTGGCAGGTGAATGACACATTCAAGTCTGGACGAGCGCATAAGCTAATTGCTCATTTAACGGATGAGCAGGGTGGTTAGATCAGCATCTGAAAATCTAGAATGTCCGACCGCAGTGCGGTCACGCCTTTGCTTGCTGGTAATTTAACACGCTCGGCTGTTAGGACAATTACGGAACAACCTCAATTGGTACTGTTCATTTTCGAGAAAAAACCGATATTTATTCATATTTGAGAAAAGTATTTAAACTACTGATCTGAGAATAGTTGTGGAATTTCAGAAAAATTCACAACAGCCCACTACTGTGCCAACTGAAGAACAGGATGAGAATATGGAGAGTGAAGAGGATGAGGACGAGGATGACAGCAGCTCTGGTTGGGTGACAGATCATGGCTCGGAAGAAGAAGTTGAAGACGCTGATTTTGATGAGAGCAAGGTGCATTTTTGAAAGGATTTTTTACATTCTTCCAAAAATTTACAATGAAAACTTACACTACGCCTAAACTTTCTTTAGTTTTTGAATTGCAGGCCATTCCTATTACTGCGTGTTTATTCTGCCCACAAACTACCTCTTCAAAAGAAGAAGCAGCTGAACATATGAAGTTTCATCACGGGTTTGCTTTACCTGACAGGAAGTACTTGGTCGACGAAGATGGCATGCTTAACTACTTAGGTGAGTTTGAGAAAATATTGCGTGCCCTAATCACCCTGTTGTAAGAATCACTTCTTTGCAGTCCCTCGGGTCCTATATACATAAGTCGCTATGAGCATGCCATTTATTCTTTTTTTATTCTTTTTTCAAAAATTTGGATTCATTTCAGGGCTCAAAGTGGGAGCTGGGCGTTGTTGCATTTTCTGCCCAGATATACGAAGTCGTTTCGCTACTGTGGCTGCATGCCAAGCACATATGCGCGACAAACAGCATTGCAAAGTGAATCGCGAACCAGAAGGCATGTTGGAGTTTGCCGAATACTACGATTATAGGTAAGGCTCTTCTTTTGTAGCTTACGATGGTAGACTCAGCTCTTGAATATTTTTACTAGTTGATTTTTTCTCTTTCAAAGCGAATTTTGAGTTCTTTTTGTCTATCATGTTTCCTAAAAATCTTGATCTTCCAATCTGAGGGAATCGCTCTGTCTGGACTTTTCTAAATTACATGTTACGTCATAGCTCTGTTTGAAACAGGGATTAAGGCCGAATAATTGTCTGGAAGACTAAAATGTCCATGTATCACTTCAACTGGGCCCCGCAGCTCGTTTAGTCTGTTATTCAAATGCCATTGAATTTTTGAACTCTTAGGCGCGTGGCGCATTTTGCTCAAAGGTATTTATCAACGCCAAATTTAGAATATTTTCATCTTTTACAGTCCGATGTATGAGAATGAAAAGGAAGGAGCTCCATCGGATACTACTTATGATGACGGATGGACGCTGACGCTTCCGTCAGGTGGGTCTCGCATCAATGATGAGGAATGAAGTTTCGAACTTGGATAATAATCGAGCTGATTTTTGTGTTTCCAGGTGCAAAAATTGGACACCGCTCGTTAATGTTGTACTACCGTCAGTATCTCCGTCCTACAGACGGTAGTAAACCTGACGTTGGCAAGGCGGCTATTGATAAAGCTCGTGGTCTCTATCCAGCTTTGGCATGGACTGGAACAACAGGTACTGTCACTGCATGAGTGCTGTTTCTCGTTGGTTGCTGTGGCGAATAGTGTGTGGGCATTTGTCTAGTAATTTATTACCCATTATCATTTTTCAAAGACGGAGGATAGGAGACGATCCATTTATCCTCCGTCTTTGAAAAATTTGGATGGGGCTAATGGAATGGAAGGGGCGGCATTCGGCGTCAAAAACAAGTTCATCTTACGATTAGATTGCCAATGTCCATCGTTTTCATAAGCAGCCAGTC